GAGAAAGAAAAAGTTTGGCAATTGTTTTGCTCGGGGATTGGCTCCAGAGACCCAATGGTGGCGATCCCATTGGAAAAGCCCTGGGTGATTTGGAGTGGAATCAGTTCATGGTAGAAATGTAGAGGATGCCAAGGGCAGTCCCATTCCCGCAGATAATGTGTATCTGCCATTCAACATTGGAGATGCAAGGAAAAATTGCACAGTAGCCAGGGTGACAGGTGGAAATACTCACCAGATACTACAAGATTTCACCCTATTGGGCACAAATGGACTGTAAACAAAACAGGTAGATAACCAGGTAGATAAGCATGCTAAGGGTTAGGCAATGTTATTCTTTTTGGGTGGTCTTACGCTTGCAAGTGATTTGTCGTTGACTTGCACATTGTAAACAAGGATGTGTAAACGTTTTGGTAGGACCAGCATGGACCAGCTAATGGAAACCGTGCAACTTATGGGACATACTGGTTACGTGCATGGAATAACATACGGTGAACCATGGAATTAAAAATGTGAGATGTGATCTCTGTCGGATAAATACCTCTTCTCCTGCCCCTGTTTCATAACCCACAGAGGAGTGTAGAAAACAAAAGCTGTTTTCAGGACCGATCAAACAGTTTTCATTTCCAAATGGCTGCAATCTTGTTGATGACCGTGTTGCTCATGATGGCTGGAAGATGGTGTGCATTGGCAAGAGAAAAGATAGAGCGAGATTTCTAGTGTCACTCCACCCCGTGAGAGATGCCCACAAGATCTTGTGGTATATGTACTGGGTGGAACTCCCCTTCCTCTCACAAAAGACGCTCGAGTTTGGCACCATTCATATCTTGGTTAGTTTGTGCCAACATGAATCTCCAGGTGTGGTCATAGCTCCTACACTGATCAAAGCCAGCTTGCGCGAGGTAAAAGTTCGTTTTCCTCTGCTTTGTGCTACTTGAGCTACTGCTGCAGGATATCTATGTGAAGGTCATGTAAGAGGCCAAGACTTTGGAACTCACTCGGAGGTGGAGTTTTTGTCATCCCCAAGAGCTGTGCAGATGTTTCCTGAGCCGACAGTCCATGAAATTCACTTTAGGAGGACATAGAAATCATTTAAACATATATTCAACTGACGAAATCTCTATCAAGTATTAAAATGTCTGTTCAGCAATTAAGCAATTCCTTTCTATTAGTTGTTTGATGTCGTTGTAGTATAGTGGTGAGTATTTCCGCCTGTCACGCGGACGACCTGGGTTCGATCCCCGGCAACGGCGAGATTATGAGCAAACATGCTTATAATTATAAACTTTATTTGATCAATTGGATTAATAAGTAATAACAAAACCATAACAATTTATTTAAGGTATTTCTATGCATGCATTTGCTGAAAGGGACAACGTAATCCCCCATCGTAGTATGGTCCAATCTTGCCGGATTTCAGCACTCCCAGCTCCGCCAGCTTGTATCCCTTCTCAAATGCTGATGGCCGATACACATTCACGTTGAGCTGCCGGTACTCTTCCGGATTGGCAGCGGGATTAGGACACCAGTCCACCTCAATGCTGCCCTTCGCATCCTCCACACGTCTGGGAGGCATAAATGCGGACACGCAGCTCCCGGCCAGCAGCTTGAACGCACCCAAGATGATCCACTCCACGATCACGGGGGGCTTTTCCAATCCAACAGCGCTCCTGATTGTGGGATCGATGAGCGCGCAGATCCCAGTCTCTACCAGCGGCTGCACAGGCTGAGGAAACGCGTCCAGCACCAGATGCTTGAGATCCTGGACGATGCTCTTGTTCTTGTCCGTGAAGATGGCGTTCTTGGCCTCGTACTCGCGAATGTACTCTCGCATCTCGGAAATGCTGTCTGGGATGTTTGTGATGCCCATCCTCACGCCCACGTCGTGCCACACAACATACGCGGCCTCCTTCTCGTTGTCGGTCCACTTGCGGAATCCAAACTTCTCCGAGAAATCAATGGGACTGATCACGTTGAGGCAGAGGACGTAGGCGAATTGGTCGTTTGGGATCTTGAATTTGTTGTGGATTCCATTCAATCTCCTCACCGCGTACGAGCCGCGATCGCTGTCGACGTGGTGGTGGATCATCTCGCTCACCAGAATGTTGGTCTCGGCAGCGCGCTTCTCGGGATCCTTGAGGCCGTACTTGGTCTTGAAGAGCAGATTTGTGATCCCGGGGATGCCCAGCGTGCGGATGGTGCCAAACTCGAGCGCCTTTTGTGAGAGGAATGGGAATTCCACCGAGTACATATACCACAAGATCTTGTGGGCATCTCTCACGGGGTGGAGTGACGCTAGAAATCTCGCTCTCTCTTTTCTCTTGCCAATGCACACCATCTTCCATGCTACAGCCATCACGAGCAACACGATCATCAACAAGATTGCAGCCATTCTGAAATGGTTGCGTTGTGAAAACTGTTTGATCTAAAATATGTGCGTGCAAAAGAAAGAACTAGGTTGGTGAAACATGGGCAAGAGAAGGGGTATTTATACCAGTGATCCAACAGAGATCACATTTCACGTTTTTTATTCATGTAGCACTAACGTGCAAAACGTACAATAAGGGGACTATAGATTTTTTGATTGAGTGGCTGAAAGAATGCACAGATCAAACAGCGTTACAACGTGTGGTCTATGCAATTTTTGGGTCACAAGTACACTCTATGACACAGAGCTGCTGGCTTTCGGGAAGGCCCCCCGCCCCCTGTTATATTCAGGCCATGATGTCACAAGAGCAACACAGTACAAGCATCACCCTGCATCAGCAACGTCCTTAGAAGGTAGAAGTGCACACCAAGCTTGCTGCTGCTCAACGAGCACACCGTCAACTTTTGGCAAGTCTGCGAAACGCGAACATATATCGATGGGATGCGACAGATCTGCGACGCACACATTACAGCACCCCTGATCCTCCTTTTTTGGTGCCTGGAATTCGGGCTCTGTAACCAATTCCCATATGGACTGCTATGCATGGACACAGGTCTCATGCCAACAGAAATCCTGGCGTGGAGAGACACACTCCAATTCCTCCTAACCGCCCGCAGAGACACTGTGTGTGTGTGGCAATTCAAGACTCCCAGTTGCTCGCAGACAGTCGCAACATGGGCTGGTGGTATGACTGTAGGCGACGGACAAAGAAACTTAACGTCGATCTGGACACTCTCCTCCAGCAACCAGTTACCACTGTCCCCGATAGCTGAATCAGCCTGGCATTCAAAAGCTGGCTACGTGGCGCAGATCGCAAGAGAAAATTCCAATACTATCTCACCAATGTAAACATCACTCGAACAATCCGGCCTCCAGTCTACAACCGGAAACGAACTCTGCAAACGCTTCGAGATACTGACTGGAGATGCACAATCTCCGTAGCGTAAGACGGCCTGGGCAGATCGGTGATACCCGGTTCGCGAACAGGAGGTCAAGGACGTGGACGTGGAAGATGCCATCGTTCGCTGCCTAGGCTACACACGGCTGAGGCTACTCTCTCTCTCTCTCTTCTCTCTCATAAGACCGTACTGTTCCGTATGACCAACCCCAATAACAAAACATGCCTTGTTGGCAAGCCACAGGAATTAGGTCACTCCTGTTCACGCGATGCCAGGGCTGAGAAGGAAATGCGATTCGTCAGCTCCCTAGCTAGATTCCAGAGGTGGATTACACCCACGGTAACGGCAGCTATGGCCGCGGACAAAGTAGCAGCATCATCAGGGAAGAGAGAAATCGCGCCGGGCAAGACACGCATCGGATGGATCGGCACTGGAGTGATGGGGCGATGGATGTGTGGCCACATCCTCGACGCCGGGTACGCGCTCACGGTCTACAACCGCACGCCCAGCAAGGCCCAAGATCTGTGCGGCCCCGGCCAGGCATTCCTGGCCGATTCCCCGCTCCAGGTCGCGCAGCGCAGCGATGTCGTCTTCACCATCGTCGGCTACCCTGCCGACGTTCGCCAGGTAATCCTCGGCCCGCTGGGAATCCTCGAGGGGCTGGAGCCGGGCGGGATCGTGGTGGACATGACGACGAGCGAGCCAGCGTTGGCGCGAGAGATCGCCGCTCGCGCGCTGGATCGCGGCTGCCATGCGCTGGACGCCCCGGTCTCGGGTGGCGATCGCGGCGCCAAGGCTGGGAAGCTCTCCATCATGGTTGGCGGCGATCTGGAAGCTTTCACCGCTCTAGCGCCGCTCTTCCAGTGCATGGGATCGCCAACTTTCATGGGCGCCGCCGGGAGTGGCCAGAGTTGCAAGCTCGCCAACCAGGTAACCATCGCCACCACCATGGTGGGCTTGGTGGAAGGGATGCTCTTCGCGCACAAGGCCGGGCTGGACGTGGAGAGCTACTTGGCAGCCATAGCCGGCGGGGCGGCGGGATCAAAGTCCCTGGAGCTCTACGCGCAGAGGATCCAGCGCCGGGACTTCCAGCCGGGTTTCTACGTGAATCACTTCGTCAAGGATCTGGGGATCGCGATCAACGAGTGCTCTAGGCTGGATCTCTGCCTCCCGGGCCTCGCTCTCGCGCAGCAGCTCTACGTGTCTCTCAAAGCTCACGGCGATGGCAACCTCGGCACGCAAGCGCTCGTCCTCGCGCTGGAGCGGCTAAACAACATCCAGCTCCTCGACAAGAAGCCATGAATCGAGCTAAAGTTTGCTGCCATGCCAGATCGATTCTTCCGTGTTTAGCTTGAGCTCAAGCATGAGCTTTTGGAAGATCGCAGGGAATGTTTCTCAAAAGCTAGTTAAATCCAAAGCCTCAAAAATGGTCTTTTTCTCTTTTCTGGTACAGCCACAGACGCAGATTGATTGTTCCTTCTTCTTACACAGATATTGTCTCTTGCTCGTCGGGCGTAAGCATCCCGTGATTCTGTCAAGTCTGTGGCTTTTTTTTTTTTTTTTTTTTTTTTTTGAGGAATCGCAGTGGTAATCCTCGCAAGAGCGATAACATCTTCCCTAGCTGGATACGAGCTTTGCCACCTTGAATGCTGCTCTCACTCGCTGACACACAGTTTGTTGAGACGACCAGTGTCCCATAAAACGAGCAAGGCCAAAAGGCGCGCTAGCTCGCGATCGAGCAAAATAAGAGCGTCGAGACAAGCATTCTTTTCTATCTTACACAAGTACTTCTAGCTTTCACGAGTGGGAATTTTCTTTAGATCGCAGCCCTCGACACAATGCTGCTGCCACTGCTGCTGCTACTCGAATGCATTGTCTTGATTTCGCTGCCGCGACTGGGCAGCATTGATGCGCAGAAAATCCAAGTTGGATTCTACTCCACGACGTGTCCGCAGGCCGAATCAATCGTCAAGAATGTGGTCAGCAGCGCGGTGTCGGCCAACCGAGGATTGGCCGCTGGACTTCTTCGCTTGCAATTCCACGACTGCTTCGTCCAGGTTGCCAAACTTCTCCCAGTTTCTTATACTGAGCTTCCTCTGTTGTCTCACTTCTCCTCCTGGATGGTCAGGGATGCGATGCTTCCGTGCTGATTGATTCCACGCCGAGCACCAAAGGTGGAGCCGAGAAGGACGCCCCGCCAAACAAGACGCTCCGGGGGTTCGAGGTGATTGACGCCGCAAAGGCGCAGGTCGAGGCAAAGTGCCCGGGAACAGTCTCGTGCGCGGACATTCTCGCGTTTGCCACGCGCGATGCAGTCGTCCAGGTCGATCGATTGCTAAGTTTGCTGGAGAGAATCGACAGAAACTCAATCGCGTTTTTCTTGTGCCACAGGTTGGAGGGCCGCGCTGGGACGTTCCCGCGGGACGACGAGACGGGCGAATCTCCTCGGCAGCCGAGGCTACGTCCAGCTTGCCCGACCCTTCTTTCTCCATCAATCAGCTCACACAGCGCTTCGCTGCCAAAGGCCTCTCGCAAGACAACATGATAACTCTCTCAGGCAAGACACACCATCTTTCTTCCTTCCAGTGTTTCCATCGAGAATCCATAGCTTCATCTTTCAGGAGCTCACACCATCGGAGTGGCACACTGCAAGACTTTCATCAACCGGCTGTATGGATTCAGCAGCAGTGCCGACACGGACCCTTCTCTCGATCCAACCTTCGCGCAGAGCCTCAAAGCCCAATGCCCGCGAGAGAATCCCAATCCCAACACCGTCGTCAGCCTCGACCCCACGCCCAACACCTTCGACAACAGCTACTACTCCAACCTCGCGCTGGGCAGGGGATTGCTCGCCTCGGACGAGCTCCTCTTCACGGACGGATCCACGACGCTCAATGTGGCTCTCAATTCCTTCTTTGGATCAACTTGGCTCCAGAAATTCCCCGACGCGATGGTGAAGATGAGCCTCATCGAAGTCAAGACGGGGAGCCAAGGCGAGATCCGGAAGAACTGCCGGAGGATCAACTAGAAGAAGTTACTCGTGACAGTGTTAAATCCTCCTCCTATGTACTGGACTCTCATTTGTACCAAAGAAACTCTTCATTCCTACCAAAAGATTTGTGAAAAAAAATCACAACTTTGTCGATCAAAGCTGGGAGAAAAGATCTTGATTTCTTGACACCTTGGAGAACTATAGGAAAAATATCGATTCGATCAGAAATAGAAGCAAAATCGACCTAGACTATAGCCACGGTCATGTACAGTCATAAAACTTCCTCCTTGCCTTGTTCTTTCTTCTTTTTTTTTGTGTGGTTCTTATGAAGATATGTCCTTCCATTTTACCCTCTTGGTTGGCTTGGAGGACTCCTTTGGTTTCTCGATTTCAATGGGATGCTGCTCAATCGTTGGCAGCTGAAAAGAGACCAGAGAATCTTAGAAAGTGTAGAAAAAAAAACAGAGATTTTTTTTTTTTACCTTGGCAGCAAGCGCTTGCCTGTCTAGCGCTGGATTCCGGAGCTCCGTGAGAGCCTCGTCCATGGCTCCCAGGAAATGGAGAAAGTTCCCTCTTGACATGGACGGCAAGTGTACCAGCATGGAATCCATCTGGTTGCGAATCGCGGTGATCTTCTCCTTGAGCTTTGTCTGCTCGTCCTCGTCGATCTTCTCAAACTCCGCCGACGAAGGACCCCCACCCTCGACGAAACGCTTCGGGTGCTTCAAGCCCGCCCCTCGATCCAGCTGCGCTGCCGCCGCCACCTGTTGGGCGATCTCGTCCAGCTTCTGCTTGATGAACTGGACGTCAAACAGCGTCGAAGTGTTGAGCTTCTTGCCGCCGAGCTTCCTCTTCCTGCTCGGTAGAGGTGGCGGCGGCGCCACGGGGATTTGCTCTCGCCGGCAACACCCACAGCTATCGATGAAAGCGTCCACGAAAGCCTCTGGAATGCCGTGGTTTCTCTCGCCATACATCCATCGCTTGGTGATCTGGTGCTTGGTCAAGTTCCGGCCCCAGTGTCTCTCGGCAGCATCAATGTGACACCCCTTGACGATCTCCAGCCACTGTCCAGAGTGAGGAATGTAGCGGCTTGCATCCCTCTTGTGGAACAAGAACCTCTTCCTGGAAGCGTCGATCTTCACCCCGAGCTTGGCCTTGAAGTCCCTCCACCGGTCCTCGATCGCACAGGTGAAAGTTATGCCGCGCTTGTTCTGCCATGGAAGTGGCTGGAATGTAGGATCGGCCGCGGAGATCTCCAGCGCCGACGGATTCGTGGACTCGAGCAAGCTGTTGATCATGAGATCGTGAGCCCCGGCGTTGAAGAGGTAGTACTTCTGGGATCTAAACTCCTCCAGGTTGTACGTGAAGGGTGGCGTGTCGCTGACGTAGTCCTGGATCTTGAGCTCCTCGAACTGATCATCTTGGTGTTCTTGCTTGAAATCCTCGTCTAGCTGCTGCTGCGGCTGCTTGGAGTGGCCCGGCGACAGCGCCATGCCCATGCCGATGATCTCGTCATTGCCAAAGGGCTTCCCAGCGTGCGATGGGAAATCCTCCAGTACCAGCATCGACCCAGTTGGATTTGTGGCTCCCATTCATGAAAACCCACTCCGCGAGAGGTCGATTACCGCATCCCGGCAGCTTCTACCTCGATTTCCCCGCGGCCTATCGATCGATTCGCGCCGGCGCCTACCTGCATCGATCGATCCACGCCGGGAATCGCAGCAGCCGATCCACGTCCAAATTAGGGCTGAGATGAAAACCTAGAATGCGGAAGGTGCGCTATTTTGCCAGCCTGGCCGAAATGCCGTGACGTGGAGGATGATGTGTCAGAAAGAATGCTCTGGACACGTGGCAGCGTCGGCGGCACAGCAGAGGATTGGATGGATCGTTTGTTTTCATCTGACGTATGTTACAGTGATCCATCATTGATTGTTAACGATGGTTAAGAAGCGTCGCGGAATGCCCATGGCCCGGGGCGCCATAGCTAGGGTTTATGCGCGCTTGTAGCAAGCGTGCGCTCAGCTCGATCTCATCGATCGTTTGTCAGCTAGCCGCTCTGTAGCTCTTATTGGACGATCATCTCGGCTTTGTCATTGTCTAATCCATTCTTTGTGCATTCCAGGCGTGCAATGTGGGACCTCTAGATCTCCCGTGAAAGCGCCTGCTAGCAGCAGCCATTGCTTGGAATTCGGGGATGCGGCTGCTCTCCGGCAGTGATAAGGGATCGATCGATGAGGTAAGCGCCCAAAATCTCCAATGCAGGCTGCGAGCTAGCTTCATCCCAGTCTCTTGTCTCCATTGCAGCCGGAAATTTCACCCAAATGCTTAGAGCATGGGTCGTGCTACGCATCGTGCATTGCTGAGCGTCAAGGTACCCGGTTGCCTCAAAGCCAAGTCCGACTCCCGTGAAGATCACCTCAGATCTAGATGCTCCATTCTCAGCTTGCTCCATCTTTTCCCCCTTTTCAGCACCTCTGGCCAAGACCACTCTCCCAAGCCATCCAAAGTCCTTGACAGTGGTCTTTCTGCCTTTTTCAGCTCGATCATGGGATTTAGTGCTCCCTCTCAGTCTCAGTCTCGTCCTTTGAGTCCACCCTTGTCCTCGGAGTCTGTGAGTCCTGCCCGGATCAGGAGCAGGCTTTTGGTACCTTTCCTCAAGTGTCTAGCTCTTTGCCTCATTAGTATCCTCGTCCTTGTGGCTGTCCTGGGAGGATCCAGGAGCAAGCACCGTGTTTATACCGGCACTTACAGGCGGTACCAAGAGGGGGGAGCTCTTGAAGTGTTGGGCTATGACCCTGGCTTTCAACTTGGACGAGCTCCTAGTCTTAAGAATGTGAAAGGGTGTCCAGACGGTATGGAAGACTTCGTTCCCTGCTACGATGTGGCTGCTAGTATCAAGGCCGGATTCAAGAATGGACAAGAGTTCCAGAGGCAGTGCAAGGTCCAAAAGCAGTGCATCGTCAAGCCTCCCAAAGGATATCGTCTGCCGCCGAGGTGGCCTACTAGCCAAAGAAGTCTTTGGAACAGCAACCTCAAAGTAACTGAAGAGCGTCTAGAGAGGTGATGATGTTCTTTTCCTTAGAACAAGTTCACTGAATGGGCTGTGCTTGTGCAGGATTCTCATTGAAGAAAGCGTGATAAGCTTTCCATCTGAAGAATCTCTCATGGAGGGATACGTTCAACAGCTTGAAGAAATGATATCTGCTGGTGGGAACAGAACTCTTACAGAGATGGGGGTACGTCATCTTGCATTTTCTTTGTTCTTTATTTTACAAGATTTCCACAGATCCGATTGGCACTGGACATCGGATGTGGAATGGCTGCCTTTTCTTCGACTCTTCTGTCAAGAAATGTGCTAACAATGTCTATATCCGCCTACGAGGAGCATGGAGCTCCCGTTCAGTTTGCTCAGGAACGCGGCCTGCCAGCCATGATCGGCTCCATCTCTTCGATGCAGCTTCCGTTTTCATTGTCTGCCTACGACATGATTCACTGCAAGGACTGCGGAGCTCAATGGCATGATAAAGGTTTTTGCAGCTCTTTCCTCGCTTAGATTATTATTGACGTGCGCATAGTCTTGTAGGTGGTTTGCTTCTCTTTGAAGTGAATAGATTGCTTCGCCCCGGGGGATATTTCGTCTGGACCCTCCCGTTTCTAGACCAGTCATCCAACAGTATCCTGAAAATAATGGGGAAGTTGACATCCAGTATCTGTTGGAGTCAACTTGCTCACAACCAGCGGACCGTTATATGGCAGAAAACAACAAAGCAACGATGCTACACCTCAAGGTATAAGCAGTTGTACATTTTTCACTTCTCGATCTAGCTAAATGCATCATCCACAGGCGTTCGACTATGTGCGAGAAGAAAAATCCTGCCGATGTGCTGTTGTACCAGCCGTTGCGGCCATGTGTAACTGAGGCACCGAACGGGAGGTGGCGTACAGTACAACAGCAGCACTTGTGGCCAAACCGGCTTATGCTGACGGCAAGACGTCTTTCGAGATATGGTATGGTTAGTTTGTTTGTCAACCGACTGATAAGTGCGAGTGTTTTGCAGGAATGGTTTCCAAAGATTTCAACGAGGATGTACAATCCTGGTTGGCAAAATTGTCCAACTACTGGTCCCTCTTCACGCCAGTAATCTTTTCGGATCATCCGAAAAGGCCTTCAGATGATGATCCGCCAGCTCCGAAGAATGTTGTGAGGAACATTATGGACATGAACGCGCAGTACGGTGGATTTAATGCTGCTCTCCTCACAGCGGGAAAGCCGGTTTGGGTGATGAATGTCGTTCCTACTTCCGCACCAAATACTCTCTCTGCGGTGTTCGACCGAGGACTGCTTGGTGTCCATCACGACTGGTATTGCCTGCATCGGCTTCTTTTCATCTTAACTGAAGAACTTTTCTTGGAACAGGTGCGAGGCTTTTCCAACATATCCCAGATCATATGACCTGTTGTACGCGAGATCTCTCCTTTCGCAGGAGCTACAAAAGCCCAAGCCATGTACACTAGCTGTCATTGTACTTGAAATGGATCGAATACTGCGACCCGAGGTAAAATATGCTGATGCTATCTGCCGATGGAGTGTTTAACTTGTCGCATGCAACAGGGATGGGTACTTTTGCAAGACGAGACGCAAGTTATCGAGACGGCTCGTTCTCTACTCGTCCAGATCCGCTGGGAGGCGCGAATAATTGAAATACCGGGTCATGGCGATCAAAGGCTTTTGGTGGGCCAGAAAAACTGGCGCAAATAGGCGGTTTGTTCATTCTTTACGATCTCCTACTAACTAATTGTCAGACATTCTTTTGCCTTCCAAGTTTTTTCCAGCTCTGTCTTCTGCCTGACCGCTGCTAGAGCTCTTTCGTCATCGCCATGACTTCCACAAGTGTACATGACGCTCGTCCATCCGACAACATGAGGTTCAAAAGGCATGCTCTTGAGCAAGGCATCGGCTTCTTCTATCTTTCCCGTGCGTCCGAGAAGGTCCACCATGCAAACGTAGTGCTCCATGGACGGAGTTATTCCATAGTCGGCCTCCAACGACAGGAAATAGTCTCGCCCATCTCCGACGAGTCCAGCACTGCCGCAAGCACTGAGAACGCTCGTGAAGACAACGCCGTTGGGTTCCTCCACACCTTCGACTTGGAGCTGCTGGAAGAGCTCCAGCGCCGGCTTTCCACGACCATTTCGAGAATAAGCAGCAATCATCGCAGCCCAGGCAATGAGATCCTTGGAGACAATCCGGTGGAAAACTTCTCGAGCTTGGTGGAGGCATCCAGACTTCGCATACAAGTTCACTAGCCCAGTCCCGACGAGAGTGTGTGATTCGAGACCACTCTCAGCAACGAAGCAGTGGATCATCCTTGCTTGGGCGAGTGTCAAAGTTGCGGAGTCACATCCACAGGCGTCGAGAACAGTGATAAATGTGCTCTCGTTTGGCAGAATCCCTTCTTGTTCCATCCAAGGGAGCGCATGGACACAGGAAGATGCTTGGCCATGCTGAGAATATGCCCGAAGCATCGCATTCCATCCCAAAACGTTGCGCTCGGGCGCCTCGTGAAACAGTGCCTCCGCTTCCTCCAGATGCCCGGCGTGGGCATACACAGTCAGCATGGCCGTCCACGTTACGACGTCCTTGTGCGCCACCTTGTCAAATGCCGCCCTCGCGGCATCCACGCGGCAGCACCGCCCGTACATGCACACGAGCGCCGTACCCACTATCGTATCGTTTTCCAGGTCGCCGTGTGCGTTCATGCCGACGTGGACGAGCTGTCCCTCCGCCAGGCTGGACGATTCGGCGCACGCGTCGAATATCCGCGCGTACGTCACGCAATCGGGCCGTATGCCCTCCGAGTCCATGTGGCAGAGGAGCCGTACGGCTTGCGTGGCATGCCCGGTTTGGGCATATGCCGCCACCAAGAGGCTCCACGCGTGAGTGTCTTGATGTGGCATCTCTTGGAAAAAGAAAATGGTGGCTTTGGAGAGATCGTGGTTGTGGAGATAAGCGGCGAGCATCGTTGTCCACGCCATGGAGTCGCGATCATCGATCGAATCAAATACTTGCCTTGCTCGCAGCAAATCTCCTCTTTGGGCAAATGCCGAGAGCATGGTGCTGCAAGAGATTGCGTCGTGCTGTGGCATACAGTCGAAGAGCTGCTTCGTTTGATCCAATTCCATAGCAAAAGATGGCAAAGAAGAAGAACAAGAAGAGAGCATCGTGTTCCAGGAGATTACATCCTTTCCGGGCATTCGATCAAAGACAACCTTGGCGGATTCACGATCCAGAGCTCTGATCATCACATTCCAAGAGTCCACACCCCTAAAAGGCATCTTCTCAAAGGAATCTATCAAATCTAGAAGATGCCCCTGTCGGGCATACGCCACGAGCATCACGTTCCATGCGACTGCGCATCGTTCTGGCATCTCGTCAAAGATCTTCTTCACGGTGCCAAAATCCCCGCTATGGAGTAGAGAAGCCAGGATGCTCGTCCAGGAAACATTGTCCACGCAAGGCATCTTGCGAAACACATCTCGCGCTAAATCAGATTGCCCGTTTTGGGCATTTGCCGCGATCATGATATTCCACGAGAAGCTGTTTCGCCGCGACATCCCCTGGAACACCGAGATTGCATCCGCCAGAGATTTGCAGCTCCCATACATCTGGACCAGTAAATTCCCCAGAAAAGTCTCGTGCCGCCACCGATCGCTCCTCACGATGATTGAATGCAATCGCCTCCCTTCCTCCAGAGCCCTGGCGCTGCTGCATCGTCGAATGAGCTCGCCATAGCTCCTGGAATCCAAGTCCCCATGATCCCCAAAATGCTCTCCCAGATTCTTCCCAATCCACAAAGTACCGCTGTTGATGGTGGCGACGCGCTTGGGATTGTAGCCCCACAGCGCCATGCGCCTCCTTTCACGTCATGGGTGATCGACTCACAAGGATGGCTGCCATGAGATTTGCTTGAAGATGGCCACTCCATTGCAAGAGATGAAATCCCACACGGGCATCCTCATGGCATTATTGAAGCACGGGATCCTGGCGACGATTTCTTATGCTCTGCCTGTGTCAGGATGATCATGGCCTATGGGGATTCCGGCAAGTGTGTAAGATGGAGGAGGTCTTTCACGAGATGCAAGAGAGGAACATCGTCATCTGGAATGGGATGATCGCTGGCTATGCCTTCAATGGGGAACTGGAGAAGGCCAGAGTTTTGTTTGATCTCATGCCGAGGTGGGATGTCTCGTCCTGAAACGCTCTCCTTGTGGCTTTTGCACAGCAATACGATGCTCACGGGACCAAGACGGTGTTTGATTCGGGCCTCTACACAGCTCGGTCTCCTCAAACGCAAAGATTGGAGATGAAAGACTTCTTTCACCAGATTCTAGCCGGATGTGGTCTCCTGGAACTCACGTCGGATGTTCAATCAAACAGCGCCAAGAGCAGAACTATTCACAAACGTTTGCAAACCATCATTCTGAAGCTTATAAGAACTAAAAAATGGCGACATATTCACTCCAACTTGGAGCTAAAGCAGCTCAAAGTGCCTCTTAAGAGTGCGTGAAGCCATATTGATAAAAGGAATTTTTGTTCTTGTCAGAGATTGAATCCAGGACAAGTTGGAATATTCATTATTATATTTACTCCAAATTATTTTGTTTCATCACTTTGCTTATGAATTTGGCAATGACTTAATCTATATTTGATTCCATTTGTTTAGGAATTAGAAGTTATTTTGTGAATTTAACCAGATCAAGACTATTATCTTAGGTGGGGAAAGTAGGACAATTTCCTTCTTTGCATGTAAGGGGTTATTCCATGGCAAATCTTCATATCTAAAACCAATAGTAGTTATTTATTAATTCAGTTGATTAAAGCTTATAAATTATAAATAAAACATTAATTTAAATGAATAATAATAGTTAACTGGTAGAATTTCCCAAATTATCTAAACCATATTCTAAATATATCCAGTATCACCCATAGGTTTGCTTAAGCAAACCAAAAATACATCTTGTATTTCATGACAGCTTAACATTTGGGTGTTATGTTATAGCAAACAATAATAAATTAAAAGTCATAAACACTAATTAGAGTATAAAAAATTAACTTTGCATTTAGAAGCATCATCCTAAGTCTCAAGACTTTAACATTCAGATATTACATAAGACTAAATAAGTTCTATCTTTATCTTTTTGTATTTTAATTTTTTATCATTAATGCACATTCATATACTTAAAATTCGAAATACTCAAGTAATGCCAAACTTATCCTCACTCATGATCTTGATATAAACCTTCTTAGAGATTGAAGAACTAGAATCACTTTTTTTTTTTCTCATTTTTCGTATATTTGTTTATGTTTAGCTCAAGAGTTACTACAGAAAAACATAAAATCTAAAAAGCAAATCAAACAATAATCAACCACTTTTTCCCTCTTTTCTTTTTTTTTTCTTTTATTCTTTCTCTTACTTTCTTATACAATATAGATACACCAAAACATAAGCGTTTTCATTAGTGACCACTATGAAAGAGGAGGTATTATAAAACAAAATGAATTTTTGGTAAAAGATTTTAAGAAAAACAAAAAGAAACAACAAAGGCAACAAAATAAAAAAAATCTTGAAGATTATGAAAAATTTTAACAAAAAAATAACTCAATCCTATCAAAGATGGCAAAAATTTACTCCACAAACCTAAAGCAGTTACAACTAATTCAACAAGAAGTGAACTAAAACTCAAGATTTTAACAATTAAGAAAAATTTTTGATACTTAAATTTTTTTTGACAAATTTAAGAAAGATTTATTGACACTAAAGAAAGACTTCAATAAATGTAAAAGATTGATGAAACAACACAGCTGTCTTTTCAGAGATTAAAGATGTACAAGATATGAAAAGTGTCTATTTTGTGGCTTTTAAATTATGCTAAACTCTACATCAAATGCTACCTAAATAAACAATATAGTTATTGTATTATAAAAAAGATTGTTATAAAAATTAAAGACAAAAAATGAAAAAGTCAACAAAAAGGAAAACTATAAATAATGGGAATATGTGCAAAGAAAATCATATTTGGTTTGATCATTTTTCAAGAGTTTAAAGCTTGACTTAGATTTATTGAGGTCATATTTTCTTTCACACTTTCATTAACTTTTTATTTATACACAAAAAAAGTTTTTTATACCAATCAAATTAGTCTCAATAACAAGCTTTCTCAAGTGCTAGCTACAAATTAAGATTAAAATCATCAGACCATAAATTTACCAACTCATTATTAGACATAGAAACTTTGGAATACACAATGATATTACTTCAACTATTATAAGAACCAATAAATGTCACATTTCTAATAACAACATTTATTCAAGTTCATAATTACACATATCAAGCATATAATGCACATAAATGAAACCAGAGATTATACACTATACCATTAACTTACACTAACAAGAAATCTTAAGATTAAAAAACTTGTAAAGAATAAACAACCCCAACTTTATTTTCCACCATATTATAAAGAACCAACTCACCGAAGCGTTGCAAATTAAAAGATCCCCCGAAATCATAATCAAAATGATAAAAAATTCATTGGATAAGATTAAGTTTGAAATTGAGTCCAAGAGTTCAAGACCAAATCCATTATCGAGACTGAAACCAAGTCCGAGTACTAATACAAATTGTGGGGTGAAACCCTAAAGCAATCGTCTTTAGGGGGCTTATAGAGGTTCCAAAAGCATAATAGGATAGTGAGGTTAAGGACTCAATCTTAAAGGAATTGTTTAGTGGTACTTCTAAATTAAGTTAGGGTTAAGATTGAGGGTTAACAACCTCGGGTGGGAGTGAATACAACCTTGAGGAGTCCTAAAGAGGCTTTTTAAGGAAATGCTTAAAAGCAATTCCCACTCTTGGAAGGGAAAATTAACTATGGTGCTTTTGGCTCAAGTGGAGTGGTACACCACTTGAGTACCATAAGGGTCATTGGTCCTTGCCTTTTTCCAAGGGATTAAGCCTTCTATTTGGGATGGAGGTGGGGAGTTATTAGACCATTTGGCCACCTTTAGTATCCTGAACTAATAGATGCACGCAGGGCTTGGGATTTAGAGAGTCCCATTAACAAGCTTTGCATATCATGGGATGTTATAAACCTAGAAATTTAGTGTGTTTAGTTGCTTATGCATATGGGGAGTGTGACTAAACCTTAAGTATAGTCCAACTTAGAAAGGGGCAAGGGAAAAAGGGGGGATTATGAGAGAATTTTGGAACTTGTGAAGAGTTAATTAATTTTTTGTTGCTCATGCAATAAATAATTGAACCTCAGTAGAACCAAGGTATATTATGATTAATGGGAACCTTGGCAAGGGAATTTAGCTAAGGTGTGGTGTGGTGGCCGCTAGTAACTTGGGTTGGGTATTGGGTTTTCTAGGGGATGCCAATAGACTAGTGCCTGTCGGATCTGGCGAGTGGACGAGAAACGTCCCTGCCAGGGGGCAGTGTGGGCTGTTGTTCCTGGTGGGGAGAGACGGGGCAGTGTGGGCGGCTGGGGTGCACACCGCCCGAAAGGGCCAAAGTAAAGGTGGTTAGATAAACAAAGTAAACTAGCAAACTAATCAAGGAAATAGCATTTAAGAATTCTAATGCACTTTAGAGTTTAACCATAGTAAATAAGAGTATCAATTCTATGTCAATTATCATATCCACAAACATAAGAATAAGCTTATACACAAATTTGAAGAGCTCAATCTTAATCTTAAGATTTAATTTGGAGCAATTAAGTTCTAATTGTAGTCATTTAGATTGATGAAAAAGATACTAACTCTTGAGTTTATAAACAATTTCAATATGTCGATGTTAATGCAACAACACCAATTCAACTCATCATTGAAATTCCCACAACCATACTATACAACCAATCCCAAAAAAAGTTTGAGAAATCATCAAAGCTTCACAATAACAAACTCAAATAATATAAGACCATAAAGAACAATAATGCAATAAAATCTAAAAAATAAGATATAAAAATTGAAGAAATCAAAACCATGATATTTATCATTTTTAAATGTAAGATATAAAAAGACTTATGAGGACACTCAAAAATCTGCCTATCAAGATTCAAGAAAGAATCTTCAACTTAGTTCATAATTAAAAAAATCAAGAAAACCATAAACCAATATACTATGGATCAATATTCACACTAAGAAATTTATAGGAAAATAAGATAAAATAAAGCTTTACATTGGAGACTCATTATTGAGTTTTTCTAGATCTCCCACATCTACTTAAATCAAAAGCACATTTGCCAAAAAATAAAAATAATATATACAAAATAAAGTCAATTCAATCGACAAGAGACTATTAATCTTTATACTTTAAAAAATCAAGAAAATCATTAGACTTGAATTCTTTTAAGGATACATCACACCTATTGGTGTGGCCATATACAAGTTAACTAATAAAGAAATACAAAATGAAACTTGGGCAAAATAACAATAGAGACACTCACAAATACTTAAACTCTTAACGAAATTAATTTGCAAAAACTACAAGAATAAAAATTTTGAAAACCTATTTCAACAACAATATCGAGGACAAAAACACTTCAAATACAACCACTATTCATCTCAGATGTTTTAAATATCACTATTGACTGAAAAACACAAATGTTTATAATGTGGATGCGAAATATTGACACAACACAATTAAAAGTATGCCTTGAATACATTTATAACAAGGACTTGCAAAAAGAGTAACTGTAATATGCATTCTTGTTTGATTCTAAAGTTGGTAAACAACAACCTTATTGAAAACTGATCAAATTTATGAAGTTGAGTATGATATAGCAACAAAAACACCAATATACAAGATTGTGTTATTCTATATTACACAATTTTATAACTATATAACATT